TGTCACTGGATTCCCACGTAGTCGACCGCAGTTCGCATCCCGGACCCGGTGGCTTAAAATTCACACCAGGCGCGTGTGCATGCGTGCCCAAGATCCTGAGAGGAGAATGAAGAAGGGATTGCGATGTGACCATCCCCCCGGGGGGTGATTTCTCGCTTTCTATCTCTCTGTCTCTCTCTGTCTTTCTGGCAAGCGCATGCACCCTATAGCAAAAACCTGTCAAAAAAAAAACTATCTGAATCAGCCTTGGATTGGGCACCTGGCTGTCCTCATGTCCTGCTTAGGTCCAGTCACCTGACCCACAAGAACCTTCCAGAACCCCAGCATCCTCTCCCCACCCAGAGCTCTCCACACTCTGTCTTCCTTCCCTTCTAACGTTCATCCTTCTGTTCCAGCCCAGTGTCTGAACCTTTGGATAATACCAAGTGGGATTGGGCCGGCAGGTGGCATGGTGGTTAAGGTACTGGACTCCCACATGATCAACCGTAGTTCAAGTCCTGGACCTGGAGGCATGCCTTCTCACTGTCCCTCTCTCTCTCTTTGGCTCTCTCTGGTCCAATTGAAGAATATTAATTTTAAAAAATGTGTAATTCTGGGACCAGCAGTTAGCATAATGGCTATGTTGCTGAACTCCTTTGTAGCCAACCACAGTTCAAGTCCTGGACCTGGTGGCTTAAACTCACGCTAGGCGCATCTGCGTGCGTGTGCATGCGTGCCCAGGATCCTGAGAGGAGAATGGAGGAGAAGGGATTGTGGCATGGCCATCCCCCCTGGGGGGTGATTTCTCACTTTCTGTCTCTCTGTCTCTCTCTGTCTTCCTGGCAAACACAGGCGCCCTATAGCAAAAAACTCTCAAAAAAAAATTATATATATAAAATAAAATACCAAGCGAGTCCTACAAGTTGATTCAAAGCTCCCCATTGGCTAGATGGTGCTGTTCCTATACTATTAAGCCCTTTAAAAGAAACTGCCCTGGGGCCAGCAGGTGGCGTAGTAGTTCAAGCCCTGGACTTCCACATGGTCAACCTCAGTTCAAGTCCTGGACCCGCTGGCTGGAAACTCACACTGGGTACGTGTGCATGTGTGCCCAAGACCCCAAGAGGAGAATGAAGAAGATGGGATCATGACGTGTCCATCCCCCTATGGAAGGCCGATTCCTCACTTTCTGTCTCTCTTTCTCTCTGTTTCTTTGGTGAGTGTACACACCCTATGTCCAAAGTCCTCTCAAAAAAAAAAAAGAGGGTACCAGCAGGTGGCGTAGTAGTTAGGGCGCTAGACTCTTACATGGCTGACAACAGTTCAAGCCCTGGGGGACCAGCAGTTAGCATAATGGCTATGTCACTGGACTGTAGTCGACCGCTGTTCGTGTCCCGGACCCGGTGGCTTAAACTCACGCCGGGCGCGTGTGCGTGCGTGCCCAAGATCCCGAGA